TCGATAGCACTGATCCCGCCACCGCAAATCCGTTTGCTCCAGACGTGGCTCGCGGACCATGCCCAACTATTCCTATCTTTACGACGACGACTCAGTATCTCCAACGTCCGCTTCGGTGATATTAGAGTGGTCTTTAGTGCCGTATAAAGAAGTCAATCCTATGTTACTGTAATTGTTTCTCGTGTTTTGCAATGAGCATCGGGGGTTTGTATATAGGTTCAAATTTTTACTAAACGGTTGAGACGATTAGGTGACGCATAGACGACAGCACTGCCGGAACTGCGACGTGCATGCGCTTTTCATTCCGAAACAGCCTTACTTAAAACCAGAACTGCGCTCAGAAACTTCCAAAGACATCGGTCGTCATCGGGTCAACGTTCATGCTGCTTACTTAAGTACATTCGTATGAAGTCTGGGTTAGCAGTACCTTGCGCCTATGAATTGGATGTACTATGTATTCAGAGCCAGAGTAAGTATCTCGAGGATTTGAGAGCATAGTACCAATCTGAATGGCTGGGTTAGCAAAAGATAGCACGGCAGCGGCGTTACTACATACAGCGCAGATCGGTCGGACCTCACGAGAAGGCGGTGCAGTTTTTTCCTGATTTGGAAGTTATAGCAGTTCTCACTGGAGGCTCTGAGTCGCCTTAAGGTATCTCACTGACCACCAATTTCTTCTCCTTTTCTATCTTTATTATCAAGGGTCGTTTCTGGAAATTTTACTCACTTTACTCACTCTCTAATCCCCTCGCTTTCAATGAGTTGCATACGTCCAGCGACTCCGGGCTTCCTCGTCACTTTGGTTGCTACCGTCTTGCTGGCCGTAGTGTCTTTTTGCGTTCCCTATTTCGAATCCGTTTTCTTCCTCAAAGCTACGATAACGGTGGATAATATCAACGGGAATATCACATTTGGAACGTTGGGATACTGTCTCGAACTTGCTAACGGCACGACATGCTCTAAACCTTCCATTGGTTATGAACTTGGTGCGTAAAAGTTCTCCATGTTCCTCAACCTATAAGTCTTTAAAACTAAATCAGACATCAATTCCTTGGTCGGCAATAAGCTTCCTGTTGAAATACCTCAAGTGGCCGTTAAATGGTTGACCTATGCACTGTTCCTGCATGTCATTGCCCTGATAGGTGCAGCCATATCGGCGTTCTTTGGCCTGATGGCTCACGTCCGTGAGATGTCGATGGCATGCTGCAGCACCTTTATATCTGGTTTCGCAGCTGTGGTCGCAATGTTCGCATTCATATTCGATATCGTCCTATTCTTCGTCGCAAAGGCCAGGATCAACGCAGTGGGAAGTGCACAGATCGGAAATGCGGTCTGGCTGACGCTCGCAGCTTGGTTACTTCTGTTCTTCAGCGGTTGCTTCTACTCCCTTGGTAGATGTTGCATATCAAACCGACCGAGAGTGCCTGGCAAATCTGGTGGAAATTATGGGGGAGGGACCCGGAAGCGGTACCAGGGCCTAATAAAGACTATGCAGCCGATCAACTACGTCTGGACGCCGTCAAAGCTGAAGCAGATCGCAAAGCTCGACAGAAAACGGAAGTTGGCTTACCTGTCTTTGGATCTGAGACCCAACCACTTACTGCCCGCATTGAAGGCGACCAAGTTTATATCGACGGCGACGATGGTGCTAACCATGCTAATCTCCCGGCATCTGCACCACTTCCAGCCCGACAACATGCTGGATATATGCAAGGTGTTCCTGGTACGCGAGCAGTGGACGATTACTACAACCCACAACCACAGACTCCGCAAACGACTGGAAACACGTATCCTCCCCAGCGCCAGCCTAGCGGTTATGCCCCTTCGACATACAGTGCGAATATCCCACACAGTTCTCCACCACAGCATGCTGCTGGATACATGCATACAATACTCCTTTAACGACGTCTCCTCCACCTTCGAATCAACTCCTTGCAATCCCAGGGCAATATGGACATACGGCAGGTGGAACATCATGTAAGTTTTGGAGAATCTACTTTATTTTAATAACAGAAACTAACTTTCATTCTTTTCTTGTAGATCATACAGCAGCCTCCTATCACGAGCAGCAGCCCACGAACTACTCACAGTACGACCCTTATGCCCCACAATCACACTACGCAGAACCATCTTACAATGCTGATCCATACAACAACACTACTACTGGTTATACCGCGACACATGATCCATACTACCATTCTACATCCCCACCTCCCCCCCAACAAAACCAGCGCCAATACACCCTAGGAGGAGATGGGTATGGCGCTAACTCTGTGCCACCTTTACAACAAGACTACGTCAATCACCCTAATGGTCACGGAGCTAGCTCCGTACCTCCATTACAGGATTATCACGATCGCTCCGGCGTGCAGTACGGCGCACCAGCCCCTTCGGGTATCGACACCAATGTTGGATACGCTTTCTCCCCTCAACCTCAGACTAACCCTGTGAGGGGTCCTCGAGCACAACCAGGTACGATACCTGAAGAAGCTCCGCCTCCAAGTTATGAACCCAGTACCTCTGGTGTCACTGGCAACTGGGGCAAGCGGTAGCAGCTGAGGATGAGAATCCAAGTGCCGATCTATATGGCTTTACGACTACTTATACCACGTTGTTCTGCTTTTTTCGTTTTGCTGACGATCTCTTGATTATTTATATCATGTACAAGATCAAGGACTTGTAGTTTTTGTTTTATTACACCTTATTCATACGTTTTCTACACCTGCTCTAATGGATGCTATGGACTCGTGACATAGTTCACACCTGTCCTGCATCACTGATTTATGTCTCAGGTCCGACTTCCTTCAGCGCACCCTAGCGTCCAATGAGACAAGTTCAATTCTTCATCACAAACTGTATCTACCTTTACAAGTGATTAGTTTTCCATAACATCAACGTTCGTCGCATTCAGCTGCAACACTCTTTTTCAATATACGAGACTTTTCCGCTAATGTGCAACCTGCAGGCGTTTGTGATGGACTGGTTGCTTCGGAGGCTCCTTCGTCAAAAGCATAGACAAAAATCATGGACAAAATCAGCGGCAGCAATCCAGTTATCTCAGCTGAATGGCGTTAATCAACGGTAATGGATCAGATGCGCAAAAAACTCACCGTTGTCGTAAGCAGGAGCAACCTCAACTATGTCGGCGCCTCTGGAAAGATGATAACCTGGTTAGCATTCGAACTAGGGGAAAGCATTTCAAACTTACACGAAATTGAGTCCGGCTAAACCACGAATAATTCGCTTGAGTTCCCGAGGCGTCCATCCACCAGCTTCTGGTGTACCAGCTACACGCATATTGGGATTTATTTTGCGCACGAATTGAACATGAACCTACTTGCAGGAGCCAAGCCAGGATCTTTGAGAAGAGATAAAGCCTCGAGTCAGACTTCTTGCACAAAAGGGGTGATAAGGTTCTCACCAATGACATCAATATCAAGGCTATTTTGGAGACATGTTACTTGCTTATCTAGGAGGATGGTAAGAATGAAAGTCACCTCAGATACACAGGACTGTCGCCGACGCGTTCCCTGATTTTGCTAATGATCGTCGGAATTCCTAGATCATCTATATCGTCTGTTGAAATCACTTGGAATCCAACAGAATCGTCGTTCTCGAGATCTTCAATGCCCTATTTTGGTAAAATCACTGTTGAACGATAGTGAGATAGGAAAAAGCTTACTCCCAGCTTGCATCGGATGCCCGCATGAATGCTATTATTGGCGAGTAGCCCTTCCTCCCGTGCGATATAGAAAAATGTTCCGTGCGTGATACGAGACTGTTCACTGGTTTGGCCTGGATAGGCAGCCCAGGTGTCCTGCTGAAATGTAATATCAATCCACCTCTAGTCAAGAAAAACTTACCAGGTGAGCATCAAAGTGGATTACTGAGATCGGACCGTATGTCTTGTGCAAGGAACGCAAAATTGGTAGCACCTAGAGACAAGAAATCAACGGAAATTTAGAGGGACGAAAGTCAGAACATGTACAATTGTATGATCGCCTCCGAGACTAGAGTTTGGTTCTTAGCACTAGGCGAAATGCATTTCAAAAGAAGGCTTACGTGACGATACGAGGGTGCTCTTTGCCGTCCTTTGCAATCAACCTGGTAACAGGCTCTACCTCTTCGTCTCGGGTAGGCTTTCTGGCCAACAACGTAGAATAGGCGACCTGCATTTGATCCACTGCCAGGGCATTGTCAAATGGATTTATAGGGACCTTTGGAAGGACTTTAATTGTTTTCAAAGATTGACTCAAAGCATTTACATCACCACAGTCAATAACCTTCTGACCAAGGGTGTAAGGGTTATTACCCCAAGAGAGGGTGTACCCCCGAATACCACGCTGTCGACGACTGCCCGAGCGGATAGCAAAGGGCCCAAAGCGCGCCCTGAGTCAAGATAGACAGTTATCTTAGTCCTCAGTTATAAGATCGATTGAAAATCAAGTACCCAGGTCTGTAGGTGACTGCAGTATCAAAGGGCATGCCAAGGATCGCTATGTCGAAATCGGCCTCTGCATTCTCCAAGCATCGGAAATATGGAAGATGAGAGAAAGAAAGTGGACCAGAGAAAGCCTGGTCAATTTGGGGGCCGTATTTCTCAAGCCATGTCTTGTCTTCCAATGGACTCTCCTGGCCGAGGGGAAGTTGAAAGTCCAATTCATGCTGTTTGTGCGCCCAAGATCCAATAAATAGGCCTACTGTCACGAAAACACGTAGTCTAAGGTCCATTTTCAGAGTGCTCTCCTGGGTGAAGCTGAAAAGATAAGATACGAACTGTCGACGCGTGCAGCGCCTACTATTTATACTCCGTTGATGTAACAAGTTTTAAAAACGGGAGAAAATAAGGCAAGTATACAAAAGCTTAGTCGTTGCATTAGAGAATAAGATATAAGATGAAATGTAGTTCTAGTCAAGTTCTAGTCCTACCCAAAGCCCTACTTAAGAGTCAACTAACGCAAGTCTCACCTCACGTAGCTTTCATACATCAATTTTCAGCTGCCGTCGTAGCACAATGGTAGTGCGTTGCTTTCCTATTACTCATAGGCAAAGGTTGCGAGTTCGAGTCTCGCCGTCGGTTCTTTTTATTTTTTATTGTTTCTTCGTGTTCCGTTCGAGTCTCACAGTCTTTCTTAGTCCTAAACTCTACATATGTTTGATGTATTTTCTTTTGAACAGGTTACTATGGCAAAGCCCTTGCTTCTCATATTCAACCTCTTTGATGTATACCTCAGATCTGCATTTGTTTTATCGTTTGGCTGTTGGCAAATTTATCACGCAACAGAATCTTGATACTTAAAAACTGGCAGATGTTCTCGTTGCACCATTTCTCGTTTCTGGACCCCTCCAACCTAGGCTGTCCTTGATATATAGCTTGGGATCTGTTCTCTATCGTCTGGCTGGTAAGGAATCTATCACGCAAAGGGATCTTGATACTTATAGCCAGAAAATGTTCTCGGTGCATCACTCTTTTCTTTCTCGTTTCTGGACCCTTTCTCATGCGCTTGGGACTCGTCCCCGAGTCTGGCAGGACTGCACAGGCATGGACCGCTCGCCAGCCGCACATAACATTGATAATATTCAACGCAGTGGCATGCGTTTTTCTCCTTCCTCCAATCTTTGGAACCCCATTCATAAAGGGCATCTATCTTTTCGAGATGGATACTCCTAGACACAATTCGCCATCTACACAGAGCTTTGTCGAAGTAATGACGTTTGGGATTTTTGGTTATTGTTGGAAATTGGATGAATCCATGAAATGCTCAAATCCAGCAATTGGTTACCAGTCTGGTTCGTTAAAATTTGTCAAAATCGGATTTGTTCTGACGTCCCTGTTACTAGGCCTCTTCCCGGCAGCCCTGTCGTCAATTGCTCGGGCATTGGCCCTCCACCTTGTTTCGGCCATTTTGGTCATTATAACGGTCTCTATCCATGGTAGGCCACTACAAGAAGACTTTCCTGTGCAAGGTATCCAAGTGGGCTTCTAAAATCAATGTTCTTCTCTCTCTGATGGCAGCAGCCTGCTTTTCAGTCGACATTGGGTTTTATGTCGAAGCGAAACAGTACTATGTGGCCGGCGACCATATATCCCTCGGAAGCGGTATATGGTCCACCCTTGGGGGATCTGTGCTATTGTTTTTGGGAGGGTGGCTATATGACATCCAGTCGAAGCAATTCCTTCATTTGCAACACTGCGGTCAAGTCATAGGAGAACCAGAACAACAATTACCTGATATTGAATCAGGACCAGACCCAGTTGGAAAACATGCTGATATCGACGTGGAATTGCTAGTAGAGGTCTTGCGCAGTATTTTGAATCATCGTGGACGGGAACATGAAGCCCGTAGTGTGGCAGCAATTTTTGGCAGCCCTAACGTATACGAAGCGTCTTCTATACCTGGCCCACGACTTGGAGACCAACAGCCTGTAAGCAAACTTCGAACGGAAGATGATGACGACGCGAAGCTGCCTGCAACCAACCGAAGTCACAACTTGACTGGATTTTAGTCGAGAAATCGGGCAATAGCGTCGATTCATTGCACAGGCGAGCAAGCACCCTGAGCGGATACGCTCCTCGGAGCTATCACACTTACTTGGATTCGGAGTCCTCGCCTACCTCAACGCAAGAAGTTCAAAAGAGTTTCATGACCAATGCAACACGGTTTAGTACTGAACCACAGACACCACTGTCTACCGCATTTGCTGCACCTACTAGTCATTCCAAGCACTCAATAGTGGACGTTGGAGACAGGCCACCCAGTTCCAAAGGCGTCACCAAACTGAAGAAGCCTCGTAAGTGTCTGATATAATTTGAGTTTTGTGTCCTAATCGCTTTTCTTTGCTTGTCTTTTTTTTTTACTCCCTCCACGCACGTTCATCGCGTACAACGTCTAGTGTTTCGACGTTGGCTTCTATTATCCACGAATTTCCGCCCATTCCCCCCTTTATCGGCAGGATATCGTCACTTACTGTGCCATATCACCCTTACAGTACTTTCACTCTTGGGAGGGCATTGGGAGTTAGGCCATCTGCGAACCCTCCTTCCGTACCTGCTAAACCTAAGGGGACAGTTGTACTGGAGGATATACGCGCCCTCGGAAGGAAGTCCATAATCAAGTCGGGGAACCGTTAACCAGCCAGCAGCTAAAATCACTAACGAGAATATGACCGAAGAGATGCTTAGACTCTGTAACACATTCACTTTACTAGTACATTCTTTTGATATTTTGTCATTCTTTTATCTACGTCAGGTCTTGATACCCGGACTGAAGAAGCTGTAGTTGTTTCTTCGATATACCCTTACAGCATAGTACATTAATTGTTACACAGCGCTGTACAACAGGTAGACTGTAAAATAATAAAGCAGGAGATAGCAAGGAGGTGCTATTAACCCAGGGTGATTGTAAGATTAATGGGACGGTATGTGCAGTTAATAAAACAGCAATAGAAAACCCCTGCAAAAGGAGGATAGAGTGGAGGGAATAGTGAGTGCATGGATGGTTGGTCTACAGAAGCACAATGAAAAACAGATAGCAATCCAAAGAGTGTGATTGATGCGATAGAAATATGCATTGAGGCGAGAAGAGAGTGGAGATCCGGATGATGAAAGCAAGCAAGTAATGAGAGTGTGGATGCAGAATGCGAGAGCGAATGAGATAAAGATAAAGCAAATAGAATGCGCAAGTCTGATGCAAGGAAGAGAGAACGATGGAGAACATGGGCGGCGACGACGGCGATGAGCACCATCATATATAGGATGCGGAAAATTGCAATAGAGGTGTCTCTTGCAGAGGGCCATCATCTGCCCTAACGGCATGATATACTCTGATCGACCTGACATGGAGTGACTTGTCGGACTGCGACTGCGACGTGTTCCACGGCTGGATCGGAGACTGTTGCAGTACATCAATCAACAGCTCCGTCTCGTCTTTCTCGCCCACACCTGAAGGCCAGCCAAACCGCTGACGGCTGAATCTAGAAAATGACAGAGGGTATCAACACAAAAAAACAAGGTGAAGAAGAAAAAAAAAGTACCCTTCGTACTCGGACATGTAATGTCCGAACATTTCGTCATCCACCAGCCGCCCACCCTTCTCGTCCAAAAACTTGGTTACGTACTGGCCGAGCGCCTGCCGACACCCAAGGAGGGTATGTATCCACTTGCACGCATGCATCTCCAGCTCCAGAGGATCCATACGCATGTACTCGGACCCCCCCTCCTTCGACCGAATCAGCAAACCAGGGGATTGCACCATTCCCAACGGCTTAATTCCCCGACGCTGGGCCACAGTGACTTGGGCGGTGGCCGCAGTGAGCGTTGAGAAGCTCACTCCGAAGATCCCGGCGCCTTCGTGCTCGGAGGCACCATCCTCTGCGGAGTCGGAGCGTGCAGGAGAGGCGGTGAAGGGGTCTTATTTTTCCTGTTCTTCAGCGGCGCCGTGCCGTTCGTGTCCGGACTGCTGGATGGTGTGTATGCATAGTCCGGCAATCCCAGCTGCTTGGCGGCCTTGGGCTGGATTATGGGAGGTATGGGCGACTCCAAGGTAAGCTCTGCCCTCTCTGCCTCTGTCAGTCCCAGCGCGTCCACTACACCCTTCGCCTTCTTTAGCTTCCGTTCTCCCAATCAAAATTCATCCATGGCTTCTTCTTCCCGCTGAAGCTTGGATCAACCAAATGAGCGAACGTTGGCTCCTTGGTCTCGACGTCATCTTCATTCTCATCCGATAGCGCAAGTGGCGAATTCCACTCCGCCAAATTTATCGAAAAATGATCCTTTTCCCTGGCGTTGTTGTTACCAAACACGTATCCCAAAAAACTCGTTACGAATGTGTCCGGCTTCAAAGCAACTTCGTGGTGCTCTTCCGGATCTTTCAGCATAGACTGAAAGAGAGTTTCGATGTCCTGACATATCTTGCGCTTCGATTCCCAAATCTCGTCCGAAGGTTGAATGAAATGAGGGTCAGTGATGACGGGTCTTGGAGGTCGTGCATAATATCGAGGTCCTCGGAATAATTGGGTCTGTACTCGGCGAGCAGTTTCAGATGCAGAGAGCGGAGGTTCTTCAGTGGGTCTTCCTTCAAACGAGGATGGACGTGATACATCGTAAAGAGTTGCACTTTCTCCCGAACCACTTTCTTCTCCCTGAAGGGTATCGAATCGAAGTCTTCGTCGGATGAATAGTCATCAAGGTCGGATGAGCGGCGTCTGGATTCCTGCCGGGGTGTGATTACATCCTTTGGGATAGGCGCTTCCTCAACGTAAGGAAACATATCTGGTCGTCTATGATTTCTAGTCGGCCGTTGACCGTTAATACACGCCGCACTTCCGTGAGGAGAGCAACCCATTGCAAATAGGGGATAGCAAGGGTCAGATTAGCCATCCTGACAAGTTCAAAAGACTTGTCCTCGAAGGGCAGGGGATACTTGACACTGGGAATGGCTTAGAAAGGGGTATAGGGACAAGCAAGAGATTTGACTCACAAGTTACCCTGCACAAAATTGGCATTGTCCGTTGTCTCTAAAGCGGGAAGTGTAACATCCACCATATCGAGTCCTGTTATTACGGAATCCTTCCACACACTGGCGGCGTGTAGGACCCAGTGTCCTTCACCACACCCAAGATCTAGAACGGTTGCTGGCGGGTTTTTTCCGTAATCATAAAAAGAAGGAAGCCCATGACTGAGTCGTTGGAATAGTTGGTCCGAAAAGCGATCACTGAAGTATAAGATTTTGGCTGAGTAAGAAAGCACAGACAAAGTTGGGATGGAAGGACGCACCTCTCCAATAAAACTGGATCATACGCCTGCATATATACTGCATCCTTCCCGTAGGGATGAAATTTCATGTTATGTCGTTCTTGCCAACGTCCCATCGGCGTGAATATTGATCTTTGAGTAAGAGGACCCTGGTTTCGTTGCCGTTCTTTAAACTTGACCGCTTTACCATTGCCAGTGGAGGGCCGGGGTGGATCCTCCGGCCTTGGCGGTAGTGCTAAAACAGGGCGAGAAGGGGGCGTGACAGTTCCAAGAGAGACGGAAGAGGCAGTGGCATCGGAAGAAGACATGATGACATTCATGGAACG